CTGCGTCTGCTGATGGCCAGCAACCTCCTGCGCTTCGGCCGGGAGGATTTCTTTACCTTGACTCACACTTCGTGCCGCATCGATGCGGAAAATTTTTATAAGAATAAATCCGAGCGTCCCGTGAGAAGTCTGCTGCCTAGTATTATTTGCAGCGACGCTGATGAATATTCGTCGCAAACTTGAAATAGCCGCGACTCGTGTACACAAATGCATTCAGCGAGGCGGTCGCCCGTCCTTCGTTTTCTTTGTTTCATCCAACCGCGCAAACGCGTATCTTTGTGAACGAGAAGTGTTCGCAATTTGTTCGTGGTCGTCGTGTCGCTCCGCCCCTCATCGTGGAGCGTCGTCCTATTCGTCGGCGCATTTCGTAGAGTCGGTGAGCCTGCGACAGCAGTTTCTGTCGGTAGATGTACAAAATTCGAAAACTGCCACCGTCTCGCTACATCTGGGCACTCCAGTTGTCGCCCTCGTCTTTGGTCGCAATTGTTCGCTTGTGGGAGGCGTTACTATTTTCAGCGGTTTCGCGTCAAGCATTGAACACAACATACCACACAGCACGCGCGCATCAACGTCGCGAACTGATCAAACAAAGAACGCTATTTGTGAAGTCGGTTGCGCGGGCATATATACAGTGTAAAAAATTGACTAGGCAAATTTTGAAAAGATGGGTGAGCAGATGGATACTTTAGGGCCTTCATTCTAGCGTGCCCGCATTTGTTGAAAAAATCGGTCTTTCGTCATTTGTACACACAGTATCTTCAAAATAAGTTGTCAAGAACTTGTTCTTGACATCGGTCTTTAATACCCGCGTTAGTGGTGCCATAAGCTGAATGTCCTCGGTTATCTTTTCGTATAAAAATTGGACAACGTCTACGTCTTCGTTAACGTCCATCATGACTTTTTCCTTTTCGTACAACAACAAAGAGGATTGCGTGACGTTCCTCGATACTGGGCATATATAAGAACTACTTGTGCTCCTAAAAAAAAACTACTGACCCGGCCGACGAGACCACGATCATCGTTTTTATTTGCCTCAACGAAATATGAAACGATAACGATTCCCCAATTTTCGACAGGTCATTTTGCCAAAACTTTCTTGACTTGTTGGTCGTCCCCACGTCTGCAACAAGTCCTAGAAGGACACAAAAGTAAAGCACTTAATACTTCACGACCTCGACGCTTTGAGCAACAATTGCAAACTTTTCGGAAATATTTTTATACTTTTATACACCACTTTCAAACTACTAACGGTCATCTTCTTATCTTACGAACAAACAAAAAATTCCTATGTATACTACGTCAATTATGTGGAACAAGTAGAAGCTACTGCTCAGTAGTGTCAGTGTTGATACTTCCTCAGAAGTACAACTTGCAGACGAGTGTAGTTTCTATAATAATTACTACTTCATTTCTTCCAGATCTTCCACGTGAAGCCACTATTGCCACTTCTGCAAGCTGTGGTGGTTGAAGCACTTTCACGACTGCGTCCGGGACCAGGGAAGGTATAGAATTAGAAGTTTGCTCTATGATGTAGTAGGAACGGCTTTTGGTTTTGTGTGATGGTGTGAAGACATGTTGTCACATGGAAATAAACGCACAACCGGGGTAGACCTGGTCTAGAAATTTCTCTAGGCATTTTTTTCGCTTAGCAGGTAGCTTCTTAAGAGAAGCTTCTGAGAGGGGCTTTTAAGTGCCGCCCATCTGAATTCAGATGCGCGCCGGGGCACGCGCCCGCCTGAATTCAGCTGAAGACAGCGAAAAGACTCCACTGCAGGTGGGCCGAGGGCTGGGCAAGGCCCAAGGGTGCGTCCGCCTACTTTTAGGTAGACGCGCGCCGGGCCAGCCATCCGCAATGCTCCCAGCGCAGACGCCGGGCCAATCTTCCGCAATTCAGCCGCACGGCGGTCCCAGCGCCTAAATGCAAGGGGGCGCCGGGACAAGTCCGATAGGATTTATGGCCACGTCGGGCCAGGTCCGCTTGCATTCACGCGGGCGCCGACTTGAATGTAGCCACCTTCCACAGGAGGGGACTTAGAAAGGCAAGACCTCTTCTGAGAGAGAGAGCCTCGATCTCTTTCGCAGAAATGCAACTTTATTGCGCCTTGGCCTCTACTTTCACTTTCTCGGGAGCAGTGGCTCCTAGCCTCTACGCCCCAGCCTTGGCTCCCACAGGAGGGGGCGTAAAAGGTCCAAACTGCTCCCGAGAAAGAAATCCGCAAGATGCGTTGCAGAAAGTAAGGGGCCTTGTGCTTGGACGGCTTCGTTTTTCCTCTGGAGCGGCCTCCATTGCGTAGTTTATTTGGATGAAGATGCTTCATTCTGAGTTTACTAGACGCCCCATCGCCGGCGTCCTGGACGCCGGCGTGGTAGTCTCGTACTAATTACTATTTCACTTGATCCAGATCTTCCACGCGAAGCCACTACGGCGACCACCACCTCCAAGGAACATGGCTTTCACTCGGCGCACTCCTGCCGCAGCACGTCACCGGCCCGCAGGTCGGCGTCCCAGCATGACCACCACAAGCACAAACTCTACACGTCGTAGAGGCGCTGGCGCCGCCTCGCCGAGGACGTCCAGCTGTCCGAGGTACAAGAGGAGAAGCAGAACTATGCGCCGCCGCTTATCGTGCGTAAAAATGTCTTCACGACCCCAGAGTCAAGTAGATGGGGACTTTGCAACACGACCAGAAAGCCAAATGTTTTGCTGGGAGCCATGCATCACAGGTGGTTCTTTGGCGCTGCAGTGTAGAAGTTGTGCCTAGATAGTCCAGACGCATGACAAACGCGCTCCGTAGTTGTCCTGATAATTAGTGCATTACAAAATACTACCAAGCGCCAACATTTATTTTGAAGAATGCCTCTCCTTGAGAACCGCGTGTGAGAAAAAAACACGCAACTTTGCAGGACATCACCAGCTTATCGTTATCGGGGTCGTGGGGACGTCTTTGCATAGGATATCGAGTACCTCTTTTGCGGAAGAACAAGTTCCTGCTTGCTGGAACCAGCGTCCTGCGCATTGCGATATCAACATACACGACCAGCACTCTAGTGGTATCGCCTGCCCCTCTATCCACAGAAAAAAACCCATCCTTATCTATTTTTCGCATGACAGACACATAATTTTATACGTGTTTTGCATGACAAATTGGATGTGGGTGGGTGTTTTATTTTCCTGGATGCCCTCCTCTCGTCAGTGCCGTGAACGTGGAAAAAATCAACGCGCAGCAGCAATCACAGCAGCAGAGCATAACTGGAAGCGCCAACGGAAGCCGCAAGACAAGCACAGCTTCAACTGCCCAGCCGAGCATGGGAGACAAGATGAACGAGGATAATTGCAGTGGCTCCTGTGGCAGTATGAAAAAGAAAACTTCAACTTCAAGCTTCTTACAACTACATTAAATTGCAGCTCTTCTTGTGTTGTCCTTTTTGCATGACGTCGAGGAGCACGAGAGCCGTGCTCCTGGTGGTATGCGTAGGTAGGTGAACAGCAGATCATGGAAATGAAGGAAGTCGAAGTTCTTGCTCCTTGCATAGAATGCGGCAAGAACACCACTGGAGATGAGAAGCAGAAACTACAAGTGCAAAAACCAGCAGCGGCCGTCATCGGTCGGTTTCACAACCCACACGAAGGACCTGTGGAAGTCGAAGGCACCACTGCTGCTGCAGCCGGACCAAACCTGGCTCCCGCGGCCGCGCTATGCCTTGCACAAATGTTTCTAGGTCTAGTTGAAGGGAGGCCCCAACTTGCCCCGCACGTTCTCGTCGATGTTGACGCAAAAATTTCTTATGTTGCATGCGCCCCAAAAGTAAAAGAAAATATGCCAGTCTCCTGCTACGCTAATACGGAACCTGTCATGTTGTTGCCAGACGCGTCGCGACCGTGAGGCGTGTGCTACACCTGTAAATAAAACGCATTTATTCTTATTGTGTGCATAATTCCAGACCACCATCTGCATGACCACCCAAAAGAGGATCTTCATGGGTGACAAACAGGGCGGGCACCCTTCCAGAGCCAAACCGATTTGCAGTCGATAGTACGCGCCGCTGCAAGCTTCGTCCGTAGTTGCACAGCAGTCCGATGCGTCGGGATCCAGTGGTGGAACAGGGGATCTTCTTCAGGCTGATGCTGCTGCTGAAGAACGCGGACATGATGAGGCCTCCACCTCTAGGGAGGTGGACCGCGCGGCCGGACCGGCAGAAAAGCAGCCAGCCCCGGACGACGGCAGACAACCAGTAGAAACACGACAGGAGTCGGCCGAGGGTTTTCCCGGCGCCGAAGCAAGTGGTCGCGCTGGGCCGGTGGAACCACCAGGAGAAAAAAAGCCTCACCAACACGAGGGGCCAGGAACAAAGGCACAACCTGGTGGGGACATGGAGAGTGGATCCCCCTCCGGCAATCCTGACAAGCGACAAAAACAACGTCAAGAACAGTCAGTAGCCTCCGAAAGCAAGGGCGATGCGTCTACAACTGCTCCTAGTACTAGTGGGAATCATGCCGCAGCCGCGCCGCTCAGCCCCCCCACTCCCGTGGCCTTGCCTCCGGCGCAGCCCGCTGCCGGCACAGCCCTCTCGGAATGTCAGGCCAAGCTTGCCAATATGGATCGTAATGTGTTGGAGAAGCAAGAGAAGAAAGCGATGTCCGCGAAAGGAGAGGGCGTGGAGTACCAAGGCGAGTTGAACGAGGCCGGCCAGCCACACGGCTGGGGCAAGCTGACGTGGCCGGACGGGGATTCGTCTGGGAGGAAGGAGTACGAAGGGCAGTTTGAAGGAGGTGTCATGGATGGCTGCGGCAAGATGGTCGTGTATATGAATACGGCCGGAGGCCCGTGCGGCAAAGGCGCGCGGAAGCCATTAATAAGGAGTATGTCGGGCAGTGGAAGGACGACAAGAAACACGGCGAGGGCGAGTACACGTTTCATCCGGACGGGGCGACGTACAAGGGGCAGTTTCAGGACGACAAGCATCACGGCGAAGGTTTGTTCAATTGGCCGGATGGAGAGATGTACAAGGGGCAGTATCTGGGCGGCAAGTGGCACGGCGAAGGTTTCTACAGGTTTAAGGATGGGACGACGTACGAGGGGCAGTGGAAGGACAGCAGTTTTCACGGAACCGGCGTGCGCAAGTACCCGAACGGGGCGTCGTACGAAGGGCAGTGGCAGGACGATGAGTATCATGGTTACGGCGTGTGGAAGTGGCCAGACGGGACCAAGTACGTAGGCAATTGGCAGGGCGGCAATATGCACGGCGAGGGCGAGTACACGTTTTCGGATGGGACGTCGACGTACAAGGGGCAGTTTCAGGACGACAAGTTTCAAGGCTACGGCGTGCGCACGTACCCGGACGGGGCGTCGTACGAGGGGGGGTTTAAGGACGACAAGCGCGACGGCAGTGGCGTGTACAGGTCGACTGTGTATACGTACGAAGGGCAGTGGCAGGGCGACAATTTTCACGGCGAGGGCATGTGGGTGCAAGTAGTGAAGGGGGACAGGTACGCGTACGTAGGGCAGTTCATACACGGCAAGCGGCACGGCAAAGGCCTGTACACGTGGCCGGATGGGGAGGAGTACGATGGGCAGTGGGAGAACGGCGAGAAGCACGGCGTGGGCACGACGGTGGCTTCGGATGGGGACAGGTACAAAGGGCCGTACATGCACAACAAGCGGCACGGCAATGGCCTGTACACGTGGCCGGACGGGACGAGCTGGCGCGGGGAGTGGAGTGAAGGTAAAGTGGGCTTTTGTGGTTCACCCAAAGGCGTCTGCATCAAGCGCAGCGGCCAGACTGTTCTGAGCGAACAAGAGTCATGGTTCTCGGACTGCAAGCCGAAGGGGCCGCAGGAAGCACATGGCCCCTAAGGCGGTTGAGGTTGTGTTGAGGTTGATGGTAGTGATGATGATCATGGCCAGCAGGTATTTATGCGGGTGGCGAGACTCCAACAGATTCAGATACCAATGGATCGCTGAAGGAGCCGTCGGACAGTGTCGCTTTATGTCATGCGCATCACTTCGGCAAAGCGAAACAAAGCAACGCACGAAGATGAGTAGTGCCGCGAGTTTCTATTTCATTCCCGCGTATTTCTTTGTCGATTATGATGTGAATTTCGCTGCCTATCAAAATGCCCTCGAGCTCGAGCTGCAGTGCCCAGTGAACTTCGGCGCCTGGTATCAGAACTTCTAGAGATAGCGGCATCAGATGATTTTTTGTGCACCAACGTGCTTTATCTCTATTCGCGACTATATCCGCCTTTGAGCCGATTTTTACGGCGAGCTGCGGTTCAGCTTCTCCCTATTTGTCTTGTGTATTCGTTCGATTCTCATAACATGCTTATGCTTTGTGACCCGTTTATTTTTTTTTTTTACATTTTTCGACCCATACTTACTATATTTATCTTTCTAACGATAATTTGAAGAATGTGAGCAAGTGCTTGCGTAGTTTGCATTTAATATTAATAAAGACTCGCGCAATAAAATTGATTTTGATTTTTTTTTTTCCACTAGCGCTATACCTTCTGTATCTGCATTTAACATTTTAATCTCTGCTTTCATTTCAGCCCCTCCAGCAACTCCATTTTAAGAACCCCACTTGAAGATGAAGACGCCAGCATTTTTCGGAGCGCTGAACTACTAGACGCGGTCGCCAAGAACGACTCAGCTCACTCTTAAAAGCCTCCGTGTGCCCGTGTCTGAATGAAGACGATAAACCATAAATCAAATGCATACTATCGCCGTCAGGCGTTAGCATTCTGCATGAAGAAAAAACAATTGAAAGAAATCTGTTCACAGTGGTTGATATGTCATTGTAGCAGGTGGTCGTTCCGCTCGACGTGTGATCTAGTGCCATTATGTTTATGATCGTTTAAATGAGCCTCATCGTCGACCGTCGTCATCACCTTATTTTCAGGTGTTTCGATAGTGCTGCCTGCTCCTGCTTAGTTTGTGTAAGACTAAGACCGAGTGACCACGCGGCTTGTGTGCTCGTTCCTTTCGTGATGTCGTCGCACCTTCGCGTTTCGTCTCGATTCGAAACATTGTCGTGAGTGATGAATTCGTCCCAGCACGGACGTCGTCAAAACCGTCGTAAACAATTTAACTGCAGCACTTAGTAAGTAGATTTCACCTCACCACGTAGTACCGCAGAAGAATTACGTAATCAAAGGTCGCTATGGATGTGTCAGAATCGAAATGGTCAAAGTTGAAATAGTTTGTCATGCATAAAAGGCAACCCACAAAGTGCCTGTCTTGCAGAGTAGGCAAGACAGGCAGACTGTGAGCCTGTTGCGGGGTAGGAATAGAGCTGCTAAAGTAGCATGACAAAAGGCGTCCTCCTTACCCAAACAGCATTACAAACTGCATTCCGGTTCTACCCAAATTTGTCATGCGCCGCTAAGAAATTGGGCTTCCAACTGGTATCGATTTTATGCATTACAAATTATTTCAGCTGTGTCGATTTCAATCCTGACACTCCCATAGTCGCACGCACTGAAACTCTCAAGATGGGCGGCGACGACATCCAGCTCGACCAGGGTGCCAGTATCCTGAGTAAAAACGTACCCACACCATAGTTGTCATGCAACTCTGCATGCTTAAAATGTTTCTCATGCGGAGCCCCATGAGAAGCATTTTCTAGTGCGGTTTTGAAATTTGTCATGCTCCAATCAGCACGAGATACTAGATCTGTAATGCTGCTGAACTAGCTCAAACAGCACTACACTACGCGGACAAACTTGTCATGCCAAACAACCAAAGCTGGCTGATTTGTCTAGCAGATTCCCCATCCTGACTTTGGTGTGGGTACGTTTTTACTCAGGATAGCCAGCACGTTTAACTTAGAGCTCGCCGGTCGCTCGTACAGCACCACTCAGTCCTCCCAATCCCGACCGGTTTCCGCCTCCAGCTCCGCGAGGCCGTCCCGACCGCAATCGGCGAACCGGTCGAGACCGCAGAGTGCAACAGGCGGGGGTGCGGGTGGAAATATCAAACAAGGCGCCAACAGCACTATGCAAGAAAAAAACTGAGTAAAGTGGAAGTCTGCGATGCAGAAAATGCAAAACAGATACACTTGTCATGTGAGACAACCACGAAGTAGCCCTCTTTTGATGTGTGTCCTCACGTGCTTGCGCTAGCTATGCACCATTACAGGTTTTTATATTTCTCTGTCATGCAGAGCAAATTGAAATTTGTCATGCTATTACTCCAAGACACCTAAAGTAACACGACAGAAGTTTTTTTCTTGGATAAACACCGTTGTCTCAGCCAATGGAATCGTGCCACCGCCCTTGCCGGGTAAAAGCGTCGGCGCACGTGTCGGCGCTGCAACTTCTACTTCTGGAGCCGGTGCGAATTATTCCGGAATGTTGCAGCAGACTGTTCCACCACCTGCCACTGCCCCAAACTACATCGGCACCGCCGGCGGTTCCGCGGCGTTCGCCCCGAAATACAGTTCGGGGTTGTCGAAGCAAGCGGAACTCCGGAAGCAGCGACACTTATCCTGTGCAAAAGTATCGTGCTCGCAGTAATTGCATTTATGCATTACAAATCTCTTTCTCAAGGTGAATCAGCATTACAAACGCAATTTGTAATGCTGGGCTAATTTGTAATGTAATTTATACTAGGACGATGCTTTATTTGCATTGCATAACACTCGTCCATGCACGATCTCGAAGATCAGGAGGTCCAGGGCCTCACATTAGGCGGCTACAGCACCAACGCTATCCTGAGTAAAAACCTCCCCACCCCAGAGTTGTGCTAGATATGTGATGCTGTTGAACTAGTAGCTAAAGCTAAACAGGCCGCTGACTTTACGAGGACGAACTTGTCATGCGAAGCAACCAAAGCAGGTTGATTTGTCTAGCAGATCTCCCATCTTGACTCTGGTGTGGGGACGTTTTCGGTCAGGATAAACGCCCACGCGTCTTTGTCACTCGACCCGTGCGGAATCTCCACGCCCGGGCTTGTATCAAATGTAAAAGTGTCTGGGTCTGGAATGTTGCTGGGTTTGTCATGCATATTTTGCATGACCCAGGATGTCTGTAATGCACGACCTAGCATCACATATTTTTGATTTTAGGGGGCTTTCTGATGCCTACTCCGCATGACAAATGCCCTCCCCGCGTAGCACAAGCTAGACTCCTCTTGCTGGTCATGCAATACAGATTTTCTTACAGTCCAAAGTTAGCATCACAAGTTCCAACCTTCCAGACCCAGACATTTTTGCACTTGATAGCCTGCCGCGGCGAATCAAACGACAGTCGTCAACCCGGTCGTAGGTGGGGATCAACAAAATGCAGAACATTTACCCTTATCAAATGCAAAAATGTCTGGGTCTGAAAGATTGCGAGACTTGTCATGCTTGTCTGGCATGACAAAAAAGCTTGTGATGCATGTCCAAGAAGAGACCCTTTTGCCTGTCATGCAAAAACGCAGTTACAGTTTCTCATGCAAAAAAAGCAACACGAAGAAGCGCAGATATTTCTCATGCTTGGCTGTGCATTACATTTGAAGAGCACTCACTATTCGTATTCCTAACACAGCATTACAAGTTTCCAGACACAGACATTTTTGCAGTTGATAGCCCTCCAGTTTTGCGTCCTTCTACCTGCGGGGGGAGCTGCAGAGGAAGCGAAGGGTTGTTGTATCCCCGACGAATATCAAGTGCAAAAATGTCTGGGTCTGGAAACTTGTAATGCTGCGTTTGGAATAATGAGTGCTCTGTAAAAATGCACAGGCAAGTATGAGAAATAGCTGCGCTTCTTTGTGTTGCGTTTTTCGCATGACAAACTGCGTTTTTGCATAACAAGCAAAAGGGTCTCTTCTTGGACACGCATCACAAACTTTTTGGCCATGCCATACAAGCATGACAAACCCGGCAACCTTCCAGACCCAGACACTTTTGCATTGGATAACGCAAAATCGGTTTCGGTATACGAGAAGAATGGATTTGAACGCGCAGGACGCGTTGGCGGAGCAAAACGAGATCAACGCGAGACTGGAGGACCGGAAATCTCTGATGCTGGATGATGACGTCGACCCCGCTAGTTTGTCGCCAGACCAGGTCCGGAACTATGCAAGAAAAAATAAACAGAAACAGTGTAAGTGTAAATCAGTGATGCAGAAAATGCAAAACAGTTGCACTTGTCATGCTCGATGAAGTGCGTCATAGGCTACTATCATACGTGTTCCCACTTACTAGTTGCGCATGACAGGTTCTTTTCCCTGTAATGCAAAACGAATTTGCGATGCTGCTCTTCCTACAAAGTTACACTTACACGGTTTTTTTCCTGGATAGGCAACTGCATCTGTTCAATCATCAGAAGAAGGGCGGAGTTTTTGTCGGAGGTAACAACATATCCTGTGCAAAAGTATCGTACTCGTACTGCAATCATGCATTACAAATCTTCTTTTTAAGGTAAATTCGCATTACAAATTTTATTTCTCATGCTGAGGAAATTTGTAATGCGATTATACGAGTGCGATACTTTTGCAGATCATACAACAGTCGGAGACGGGGCGGGAGTAATTCCAATTCTCCACAGAAGCCGCCGTCTTTTGTGGTACTCTCGTCTTCATCCACGGGCTCTTCTTCGCCGAGCAAACAAGGGGCCCCTACGTCGCAACAGCGTGGTCCTGCCAATCGCCATGATGTAGCACCACAGCAGCTGCAGGCGCAGAACCTGAACCTCCCGCGAGAAGCAGGAGGTGGAGCAAGCGCTAGTGCAACGCCGATCACCACGAACCCCTTGTTTGAGGTGTACGAGAAGTTGGAATTGATGCAGCACCAAGCGGACTTGGACGAAACTAGTCATGCAGATCTGCAAGAAAATTATATCGGTTGTTCGGTTGACGACGAAAACTACGCACTGAGCAATAACATCAACGCACAAGAACACCAATCCGCTTCCAAAACGGACGTGGAATCGGTTCCGTTGGAGTGCAGCCGACACGGGCCGCCGCCAACGCGGGAAAGGTCAAGAGAGGAGCTATCGAAGGAAGGGGAACAAGATGAAGACAACTACAACTACAACTACTCCGGCGGTTCTGTGTCCAATTCAAACTATGAATTGCAAAGTATCGTACTCGTATAAACGCATAACAAATTTCCACCTCAGCATGAGAGATAAATGCTGATTTACGTTAAGAGTAAAGATTTGTAATGCATGACTGCAATACGAGCGCGACACTTTTGCACAGGATACAAACCACTTACCATCGAAACTCGACGCGAAAACTTCCACAACGGATTTGATCAACTTCCAAAATTCATCCAGGTCGAAATTAGTCGTTGATCAGGCGACAAGTGTGGACATTAATCAGATGAAAAGTTCTTGTCAGAGTGCGAGTTCGCGACCGGGCGTGCATTCAACAGCTTCGCGGGTTGTGCAGCAGATCGGAGGTGGACCATTTGATGAGCAGACACCGGGACGACAAGCAGGGAGCAAGACACAGGGAAGTAGTTCTAGCTCCGAAAACAAGAGCAGCAGACGGTTAGAGCCGGCTGGTGCAGCAGAGGGTGTTGACCACGGTGCTGAAGTGACTGCTGAACAACTACTTGAAAAGGAACTCCAAAGTGAAGAGCTCCGAGCCGTTTGTGGTCCTGGCGGGCACGACGATGATGACACAAATAAATCGAACAGGCATCTTCAACTCGTCCAGGAGCTCACCCCAGACACCCTTCCGAACTTTCTTGAAAAAATCCAACTGCTGTACAGCTTCGAGCCACGGTACGAAATTTTCCAGACCGAATTACTCTCCCATACGACACAACTTGCGGCGGATCCGGTGAAAAGGGTGGAAAAGCAGTTGGAATTAGTATCAAGAAGAAAAATCCCCCCTCCCCATATCAAAACGAAAATCTGTGATGCAGATTTGTGGCCACAAATCAGGCTTGTCATGCTAGAAGGGAAAAGATGCGGACACGGACTGTAGTGCTGGGCGGCGTGGGAAAGCCTTGCATCTTCAGCATGACAGGAGCCAGCTGGAAATGGGAAACAGCATGACAAATCGCCTGCGAGAAGTAAGCGTAAGCGAGAAGTAAGGTAAAGATAACATAACTGCCCGGGGATGAAGAAATACTCGCGATGTTTTTCGCGGTTCTGACCCTAGATCTCCTGCGTCCGAAGCTGCTTGCGGCGACGGTGCAAAGGTTTTTGATGTGGTGCAGTCGGGTATGCATGACAAATCGCCTGCACACGAGGCCACGCCACGGCTCTTGGCCTTCTTGCAATACACGTCGGTTTGTGTACTCAAATACAGCATCACAAATTTCGTTTTCGATATGGGGAGGGGGGATTTTTCCCTCTGATAATTAGTCACAACTTACCTTGAGTATCTCGCGGTGAATCACATGCTATCCTCTTGCTTCTCCGTGGTGATTTCAAGAAAAACGGTTTCTGAGCAACTAGCCCGGCACAAAAATTGGCGGGAAGTCGTGGGGGACTTTGATGAGGATGGGCTCAGCAGTAACAACTGGCTGCACAACTGGAGTCAGTCCACCTCAACGATGTTTTCCATCTCCCGAAATAACAGCCGTCCCGGGTCGGCGCATCGGGCAAAAAATACAAGACCGAGTTCTGCGACTACTAAACCGAAGCAGTTGCAAGAACTGCTGTTGCAAGAGCAGCAGGCACAAGAATTGGATGCAGCTCCTGTGCAGGAAATTACGTCTCCAACACTAGAACAAGAAGAGCTAGTCGTCCGATCTGGATCGAACAACTGGTTGGATTTGATGGCGATGTCGCAGTATCCTGTGCAAAAGTATCGTACTCGGAGTCATGCATTACAAATCTCCACTCCAAGGCAAAACAGCATGACAAACTCCCTTTGTCATGCTGAGCTAATTTGTGTTGCAATTGCTACTAGTACGATACTTTTGCATTGCATACGCAGCTAGCGTCCCGGGTCCAGCCAGACGCGATGCCGGTGACTACGGCGAAATTGGGTGTGACGGATGACGAAAAAGAGTTGGCGTTCGCGCGCGAAGAAGCGGAGAGAGCGAGGAAGGAAGCAGAACTACAGGCACAGGAGGGCAGCGCTGTTGGCTCCGCAGATGTTGAAGCTGCGCGACAGCAAGAGAATGCTCCTGTAGCGGGAAATGAAATCAGTGCTGCCCCGGAGGCGGAACAACCGCAACAGCAACAGCAAGACGCCCTAGAGCAGCACGAACAACGTCAAAAATCGCGGCTCCAGGAGGAAGATGTTGAACAGCAACGTCTCGAAAACAACAACCCCCACAACCAGCCAGACCTCCCGATTGTCGAAGTGAAAAGAGTCTTTTTCGACGAGAGAAAGTTCGCGGACCAACCTATGGCTTGCTCAGACGTTACAATCTCATCAAGCGTTACAACAATAGAATCTGAAACTTGTTGTGCGTAAACAGCATGAGTACGATACAGATTTTTGGGCTTTTCGCAAGACAAATTTTGCCAGATTGTCGTGGGGTAGGTTGGAGCTCCGAAACTTGTCATGCGCGCTCCTGTGAGAGTAGACCAGATGCTACGCATTTTGCAACACAAATTCCAGAGGACTCTATTGTAACGCTTGTGATCGTAACACCTGAGCGGGTTATACAAATCCCGCTAGTTCGGTTTATGAACTGCAAAAGTAATATCGTACTCGTATTAATGCATTACAAATTTCCTCAGCATGAGAGAGAAAATTTGTAATGCGGATTTCCCTTAAGATCTAGATTTGTAATGCAAGACTTGCATTTATACGAATACGATACTTTTGCACATGATACGGTTTTTCACCGGGCAACTGAAGGCGCAGGAGGATTTATGAGAGTGCACAACTGTCCCTCCCCCTCATTTGAACTGCATGAACAGCAATAGAAGGGACTGCAACACTGCAGCTTTTGCATGACAAATTTTCACAGGATTCTGTATGGTGTTTCTTGGGCTCCTGCCAGAATCTGTGATGGTAAGATGCCCAAGGGGCAAGGAGTGGATTTGGTATTTTGCATGACAAATGAGGGGGAGGGGGAGTTTTGCACTTTCATAGGATTTCGTCGTGCAAATGAAACTGCCGGAGGAGCTAGTTCAGGAGAACGAAAAATTGAAGGAAGAAAACCATTTTCTTCAGCAAAAAGCCGAAGAAACCGAAACCCAAATCAGGAACAAAATTGTGGAGGAAAACGTGGACCTCTACATCAATATCCAGAAGGAGACGGATATGGGAGTGTCAGGTTTGAAATCGTCAATAAAGTTGAAATTATAGTTTGCCATGCATAAAACAGATACCAGCTGGTGCCTATTTTTCAATTGGCGCATCACAAATCTAGGTAGAACCGAAATCCAGTTTGTCATGCTGTTTGGGTAAGGAAGACGCCTTTTGTCGTGCTCCTTTTTTAGCTGCTCAGTTTCTACCCCTCAACAGGCTTACAATCTGCCTCACTTGCCTCCTCTGCAAGACAGGGCGGCTGCATTTTATGCATGGCAAACTATATCAATTTCAACTTTGACGATTTCAATCCTGACACTCCCACAACGGAAGAAGTCGTCAAACAGTCGGAATTTGACTTGAAGATCGCGGAGGGGGATGCGGAGGCGTTTTTGAGGGAGAAGAATAAGATGAAAGAGAAGCCTATCAACTGCAAAAATGTCCTCTGGGTCTGGAAACTTGTGATGCAAGTCCGTGAACAATAAAGTGCTCTGTAATGCGCCGCCAAGCATGACAAGTTTTTTCGTGTTTCTGTGCTGCGTATTTCGCACGAGAAACTGCGCTTTTGCATGACAGGCAAGAGGACCTCTTTGTGGCCGCGCAATACAAAGGGCAGAGTCATGCTAGACTACCATGACAAATCGCGCAATCTTCCAGAGGACCCAGACACTTTTGCATGTGATAAAGCTGAAGGAAGTTTTGGACGAGAAGCAAAAATTTGACAAAGTGTATGCATTTTGCAAAAGTATCGTACTTCGTATGAATTGCATTCACGCATGACAAATCTCTTTCACTTTCTAAAACTGAAACAGCATTACAAATTCCACTTTTATTGTTCTTCCAGGAATTTGTGATGCAAGTTACACCAGTACGATGTTTTTGCATTGCATAAAGTGAACGAGCGACTGATTTTGTCCGCGATGCGGCAATGCAACCAGTTGGATGGACAGTTGAGCTCGTTTGTGACTACAACCACTACTACACAGGCGTCTGCTCCTGCTGTTTCGGATGAAGACCACGGAGCAGAACAACCTGAAAAAAAGCCCGATTTCATGCAGTTTCTGGAACTGCAGAAACAAAACCGGGCGAATGGGCTGCTGCCGATCAGCGCTGCTTCGTCCTCTCTCCAGCCGTTGTTTCTGGCGACGTATGCACGGGGGTTGAAGGAGACCATTGGGGAATTGGCGAAGAATTACCAGGAGAGTAGGGTGTATCCTGTGCTGCAAAAGTATCGCACTCGTAGTAAAATATTGCAGCTACAACGCATTAGCATTACAAATCTCGTTCCCAAGGTAAATCAGCATGACAAATTCCATTTGTCATGCCGGGCGAATTTGTATTACAATTTTTGTTACTAGTACGATACTTTTGAGTTCATAGGGTGAAAGCGGCTAAGGAGCAAACAGCTGCAAAGAAGAAGCCACACAGTGCCGCTGGTGCGTCGCAGAAATCGTCTTCCTCCTCTTCCTCATCGACAAGTGTGAAGAATAGTTTGAGTGGGAGCTGCACAACGAGTGCGACTGCAATAAACAAGACGCCAGGTGGTCGTGCTCCTGCATCGACATCTTCTAGTTCCTCAGCGGCAAATATGGGAGTGTCAGGTTTGAAATCGTCGGTCAGAGTTGAAATGATTTGTCATGCATAAAATGCGATACAAAAACTGACTCTATTGCAGAGGACGCACGGGAGGCAGATTATAGTCCTGGCAAGGGTCTTCAAAAGTTGGACTGCTGACTAGCATGACAGAAGGCAGCTCCTTTGCTCTAAACCGCATGACAGACTCGCTTCCAGGACCGGGAAAATTTGTCATGCGCCGACTACAAACTGTAGGTCTAACTGGTAGCCGTTTTATGCATCACAAATCATTTCAACTTTGACGATTTCAATCCTGACAGTTCCATAGCAAATAAACCGAAAAGCAAGATCACCCCGGACGGTCCGCATGAGGCGATCAAGAAAATGAACACGATTGCGAGGCCCAAACTAAAACCGAAATGGAACAAGGAGGAAAACACGAGCGTGCAAAGGGAGGAAAGACTGTGGGACTGTTTGGCGCAGGTAGTTGTTAACATTCGTGGGTCGTCGTTTGGGATTTTTTCATTTAGATTTTCTTCAGAATTTGTCTTGCAAAAGCATAAGCATCAGTCCCTGTGGCCGTTCTTTCGATTTTCCATTTGCAATGCACAAAACGCAACGAAAATATATCAGGTCCAGAAAGTATCGGAAGAAGCCATGAAAGACTTCGATCGGGATGTGGTGGAGATGGACGCATTGGTATCCAGGTAAAAACATCCAAACCCCGATCCAATTTGTCATGCAAAACATGCAATAAAGTCCAGTGTTTGTCATGCAAAAATGGATGGGGATTGGTGCTGTTTTTTCCTGGATAATTGCTCATGTCGAGTCCGCGACCTGCCTCGGTGTGGACCGGAGGTTGTAACAACAGCCGGGCATCTTCCGCTGGTGTCCCCAGTCGACCCATGTCCGCGCAGACGAATCTATCCTGTGCAAAAGTAGGATCGTAAACTGGTACTAATGGCAGTCATGCAAGACAAATTTCATTTTCTAGCTAAATCAGCATGACAAATTCCATTAGTCATGCTGAGCTAATTTGTGTTGCAAAAATACCACGACCACGAGTAAGATACTTTTGCAGTAGTTCATAAAATCTGTACAACAACAATTCCTCGAGTAGTACTTGTTCCCGCCCTCTATCCGCACAAACCCACTTATCGAACTTCTACGCGGCGACCGGTGGTGGAAACAGTAACAGTCGGCCGCAATCCGCCCAAACACACCATAGTACAACTGCTGCTCCACTTTCAACAACGTCTCGCCCGGTGTCCGCAATGGACCACCCGGCGTCCAGGCCTCTGTCTGCCTCGAGACCAACGCACCAATTGCTGATGTCGGAGATTTATGAGTTGCAAAAGCATCGTACTACGTATGAATTGCATTACGATTAGAAATGAAATTTGTAATGGTGCTTGACGTTAGGAGACAGATTTGTAATGCATATTATACTGCAATTAGAATTACGATTACCACGAGTGCGATGCTTTTGCAGTGCATAAGATCAAGAAAAATCCACAGTTTTTCCTGAACCAGTTTCAGGAAGATTTAGAAGCGGTATGAAAGTGCACACCCCCTCCTCTCCCTCATTTGTCATGCAAAATACCGAACCCAACTGCTGTCCTGTGGTACTGTTTGCATGACAGATTCCGGAAAGAACCCGCCAAAAGGTACTACATTACGTGCATGAAGAAGAACTTGTCATGCACAGACTCCAGATGTGCGGGTGTTTGAGTTGCTGTTCATGCAATACAATTTAGGGCGAGGGGCAGTTGTGCACTGTCACAAGCGGTCGGATCGGATGAGGAGGTTGTCGCGGAAACGAATCAAGTCGAAACCGCCATAAACCAAAATTTGATGTCAAACCCGAACATTATCACCCGAGTCTCGGTTGCGGAAAGTAGGCACGTCGGAACAACAAACCATCGTAGTTCATCTTTCACCCAGCAAGTAGAGAAGGCATCCTCGTCGTCCACGGTCGCCCATCACCTGCCGTTTGAAAACGTGGAAAGTGGCGGGTCGTCGATTGAGGTAAATGGAGATAGAGATGATCACGACGTGGACGTTGATGACCCAGCAGACAGCATGGTGAATAAGTTCGGATCTTCTTCTGTCTCGGCCGGCTCACAAATAAAACCCAACAGCCAAGTCCTAAACGCCATCCCGCACTTCATCCAGCGCCCAACGTCTGCGAAACTGCGGGCGGCTGCCTCCAGGCTGGAACGAGCAGCAGAACAGGCGGAAGACGAGAAGTTTGATTTCCCTCTGAACAGTACTACGCATTGCAAAAGTATCGTACGTAGTCGCAAAAATCGCATCACAAATTTCTGCAGCGTGAAAAATGGAATTTGTCATGCGGATCTCGCGATAAGAAAAAGAGTTGTGATGTATGACTGCAATTACCTCCACTACGAGCACGATAGTTTTGCAGTGCATAAGCGGCAAACCGGGTCAATTGAGTTTTACCCCGGACTACGTGAAAAAGAAGGAGAACCTATCCTGAGTAAAAACGTACCCACGCCAGAGTTGTAATGCAGATTTGCAAAGACAGGAAGACTTGTAATGCGCATCCCCATGAGAGCCATTTCCAGTCGTGTTTTGGAATTTGTGATGCTGTGAACAGGATGAGCAGATGAATCTGTGACGCGGCTGCACTTGCTAACCTGCACTGCGCTGCATAGTGCAAGGACTTGTCATGCGTGACTCACAAAACTCCTAGGTTTGTGTTGCAAAATCCCCATCCTGACTCTGGTGTGGGTACGTTTTTACTCAGGATAGAACCACTGGACGAGACAGGGATGGAAAACGACTTTTGCGAGCAAAGTGAACATATACATTGCAAATACCTAGTCTGGGTCTGGAAGAATGCAACTTGTGATGCTGCTTCATTGGGATTCCGAAAAAAAACTGTATTGCATGAGCAGCAAAGGGAATGCAATTTTCGCTATGCGGTGGAAAGGGCATTTGTCATGCTCATGCGTACTTAATAGGCATCAAGAAGGAGCGCGCAAAATAAAAATCTCTGATGCTAGGGCATGCATCACAGACATAATGGCTCATGGAAAACGTGCATGACTGACAAGTCTCAGAATCATCTTCCAGACCTAGATGACATATTTGCCATGCATAGACCAAGGGAGTGACCTTTCCGTCAACCCCAGCGGTGCAAAAACTTACCTCGGAGGAACAGGAAAGAGCATTGCAAAACGGCCTTCAGAATTCTACAACGAGCAGTAAGAAAGCTGCAGTAAGCAGTAGCAAAAGCAGAAAAGTCCTCCTCTCCCTGAAAGCCGCCGAGGCACACAATTTGATTCTGGCAAGGATGCAGCAGAAGGACAAACTCGCCAGAGAATTTGAATCCAGTCCGCGACGGAAGTTTAACAGAGGGAGTCCGAGGAAATCTTCGCCCCTGTTTAAGAAGAAGACGGCTATTACGGAAGTTCCTGGTCAACGTGCGGCTTTGCAAGGGGAACAAGGGGAACAACAAGCTGCAGCAGATCATATTCCTCCTGATGCAATGAACGTTGTTCCGCCAGCAAGCCACGTGGTGGTCGTGCCGAACGTGAACGCCTTCCTGGACACACTGAAGAGCGCGAAGACGGAACAAGAGCAGTTAAAACTAGCAACGGACGAGGATCATCATGTCTTACTGGTTGACACTGACGTCGGTTCGTGCACCACCGACGCAGAAGGCGGAACAGCTACAGGTGGGATTATCAGTTCTGCGAGTGCATCAGCATCCGCTAGTGGGGCGACGACGCCGACTAGCACGATCGGGTACAACATTAAAAATACCGGAAGCTATGCTGTTGCTGGACCTGGTGGCGTAGCTCATGATCATGTCAACATGCACATCTTCGGAAAGCAATACAGTGCGAGGACCACTGATCATGCCGGCAGCGAGGCTGCACCAGGAGGAAACAAGGACATTTTGGTGCAGCAAATTCATCCCGATTATCGTCCAGTTACAACTTCTTCGCTGAACCAAAAATTACAACAAGAAGTCGATGGGGGGATATGCAATACAAATTTCCCGTACATGTTGTACAACACGCATCACAAATTTCACCAATTAGCAGGAGCGTCGCACTTGTCATGCTAATCTGGGAGCGAAGCCAAGTTTTGTCATGCAGAGACCGCATCTGTACGTGTGCGGGAAATTTACTGTGGATATGGGAAGAGTCAAAGTTACGAAGAAAGGGTAGTGGTTGATGACGACGTGGCGGAGGATGGTGTGAATGCGAGAAATGTATTTCTAACTGTATGATTTTGATTTATCCAGCTCTATATCTAATTCAATGCGCGGAAATCACGTCTGGTCTCCTGGTGACACCAGACAGACACAGACTTTGATGCATTTATTCCGTTTCGCGTGATCTCGTTAACAGCGTGCCTTTGACTTTGTACTCCCGATCCCGCGCTTGGGCTACTTGAGCTATTATTTGCATATGGAATAAAATAAATTTGAATTTACGCGCACTTCCTTCGTATAATCGCAAAGTAAAGTGAAGAACAAGAATTAGAGTCTGAAGTACTCTTCAATTGTCGACGTAGACTATCGTTAATTATCGTAGAAGCGATGTAATAAACAACTATGACTATCGTTAATACTAACTAACACGCTCAGTGCGACTGTTATCTCAGACTAAACCTCAACGGAGCTGATAACCACCTACACGAATTTCCAGAAGGGATTGGTAGCAGATAAAGTTCGAAAATGGAAAATGCAAGAACATCCCCGTAGAAATAATAGTTTTATCAACAGCAGCGTTACGTGAAATCGTGTTGTGCCCAGTTTCTGTTTCGTACTCTTAAATAAAATGCACATAAAACAAAAAATGTACCGACCGACCCTTTGCGGATTGGGTAAAAATTTGACCCCAGTGTAGATCTCGTCGCGAGACGAGGACGATGAAGCCAGCTGCAGCTGCCTTCAAGTGCAGCACGAATGGAGAACGCAAGAAGCAAATGAACCGTTTCCTCACGGCTACTTGTATCAATAAGTTCCTTCTAAAAAAAAAGCAAAACCAAAGCCGCTTGTACTTCGCAGGCGTAGTGTGACTGTGCCTAGAAGTGCTGCCGTCCCGAGTCACACACTTGCTCCTTAGTGTGTTTGAAAAACAGGGGCAGGAGGTTCGACGTTTAGGGGTTAAGCCGTTGTGCTGATCGTGATTCCCGAAGTCGTGGTAAATTGTGCATTAGGTCAACATAGTACCCTGCAGGACCCCCAGCAGGAGGTGTTTACTCACCTGCATCTCGAGCGAGTTTGAAGCGATCCATGATTCGTGCGTAGTATCACTCTGTCTGGACGATTATGACGAGAATAAAAGACCCGACGTGAATAAAGCGATCTCCTTGTGTGTGAGCGAGTTCTGTGCACCAGCGCGTCAGATGCTACAACAAGGGCTATTGCTGCAAGATCGTAATGTCATAGGCTGCGGGCAGCAACCTGTAATTCCTACGGGAATTGATTGCCAAGAAATCAAATATTGAAAATGAAAAACATGACCCGATCTTGACCCTCGTGCGGTGCCTTTGCAGCGCTAGCTGCTGGCGAATGAGGTGAAATAAAGCGAAAGCCCCAGCCAAGCTGCTTAAACATGTGACCAACATCGGGGAACAAGGGAAGCCGCAACCAAGGAAAAGCTGAAGCAGCCAGACCGGGTTGTACGTGAGGAAGGAAGCAGAGGCACAAATCCCGTTTCCACACATCGAAAATGGGGCTCCAGAAGGTGGTCGACATGATCACCTTTCCGGCTCCGAGCAGCAGCTACTCGCTCACCAGCCACTTGGATGAGCTGTTATGGATTCTTGCAAAAGTAATATCGTACTACTTGTGGTAATCGCATTACAAATTTGCTCAGCATGACAAGAAATTTGTGATGCACAATTCCGATAATTACTACGAGTACGATACTTTTGCACAGGATAGCTGTTTTTCATCAACGACCCGCTCCAGGAGCTCCTCCCCATCCCCTGCATGTACATCGGGTGCCCGACAAAGAACGCGATGTTCGTCTTATCCTGTGCAAAAGTATCGTACTCGTATTTTTGCAGTCATGCATTACAAATTTTTTTCTGAATCTAAATCCGCATTACAAATTTTAATTCTCATGCTGAGGAAATTTGTAATGCATTTATACGAGTACGGTACTTTTGCAATGCATACGTCTTAGTCCATACCCACTCCAACGGGTGCGATATGGGCGACATGGTGGCCGCCATGCGGGGGCTGAGCACCCAGCTCTACGTCGACTCCGTTCTGATCGAGTACCCGGGGTACGGACTTTATCCACGAAAAGAACTGTCTTAGTGTAGGTGTTCTACTTTTGGAGTCACAGCATGACAAACTTGCTCCGCATCACAGAGAAAACTTGTAATGCAGAGCTAGCACTTGAAAACACATATGAAAGGAGGACTTCATGGGCGTCTGGCATGACAAGTGTAACTCTTTTAGATTTACTGCATCACAGACTTACACTTACGCACTTTTTTTCTTGCATAGACTCCATGAGGGCCGGGCGAGCCACCAGTCGATCGACCGGACGGTTGCGGTGGTGTATGAACTGCAAAAGTATCGTACTCGTATAAATGCATGACAAATTTCCCCAGCATGAAACATAAAATTTGTCATGCGGATTTACCTTAAGAAAAAAATTTGTAATGCATGACTGCAATTACTACGAGTACGATACTTTTGCACAGGATATGGCGCACGAGTACTTGATAAACACGTTCTATGGGAGCGTCAGAATCGAAATCAACACAGTTCTTTGCATCAAAACTTGTGATGCATAGAATGGATACCATTTGGAAGCCCAATTTCGAAGCGGCGCATGGCAAATTTCGGCATCATCGTCCAAATCCAGTTTGTCATGCTGTTTCGCGAAAGAAGGCGGCTTTTGTCATGCTACTTTAGCAGCTCTATCGTACTACCCCAAACGATCGTCCCAAAAAGGCTCACAATCGACCTCGCTTGCAATCCCTGCAAGACACTCACTTCGTGCCTTGCATTTTATGCATCACAGATTACTTGTTCGACTTTTTCGATTTCAATCCTGACACCCCCATACGTTGAAAATCGAGCCGAGCAGAATCATCTGGTACGGTCGCAGTATCGGGACCGGAAGTGCCTTATCCTGTGCAAAAGTGTCGTATTCGTATTGCAATCATGCATTACGAATCTTTTTGTTAAGTCAAGTACGCATGACACATGCTGGGGAAATTTGTAATGCATTTATACGAGTACGATACTTTTGCAGTGCATACGCCTGCGCCCTTGCGCTGCGGACGCAGGAACTGTATGGCCCGGAAAGTCTCGGCGGCCTGATCATCCAGTTATCCACAGTAAATTTCCCGTACACGTACTACCAATGCAGTCTCTGCATGACAAAACTTGCCTTCAGTCCTAGTCTAGCATGACAAGTTGGACGCTGCAAGTTAGCGAAATTTGTCATGCATTTTGTACATGTACGGGAAATTTACATTGCATACCAGTGTGGCTTCACGCATTTCAAGGATGTCGTGAAGTTCCTGTTCGTATCAAATGCAAAAATGTCTGGGTCTGGAAACTTGTAATGCTGCGTTGGGAATAGTGAATGCTCTGCAATGCACTGCCAAGCATGAGAAATATCTGCGCTGCTTTGTGTTGCGTTTTTCGCATGACAAACGGCGTTGCTTTCGCATGACAGGCAAAAGGGTCTCTTCTTGGACACGCATCACAAACTTTTTGTTCATGCCAGACAAGCATGACAACTTTCGCAATCTTCCAGACACAGATGACATTTTTGCATTTTATAGCTCGGCCGGGTCGCGAAGTCGCTGGTAAGACACAACTGGAACAACTTAGAAACCGTGAAGAAATTGGTAAGCTGTCCGATCTTGATCCTGCACGGATATGACAATGCACAGCTCGTCCCCCTCCCGCTCCCCCTCATTTGTGTTGCATGAACAGCAAAAATACAATCGCCAGCGAATCCGACCCTGGAGCGTGTCGTGCATGACAAATTTATGATGTATCATCTGCTGTACTAGTATTGTTTTCGCTATCGAAATTTGTCATGCAAACAGTGCCACAGGGCCGTGACTGGATTGGGGATTTTGCATGACAAATGAGGGCGGCGAAGGTGGGGACGAGTTGTGCACTGTCATAACGGAAAGCGGGACACCATGATCCCGCACACTCAAGCGGAGGAGCTGTGGAAAGTCGTGCCCTGGAAGGAAATCTCCGAACTCTACCTGTGCAACTGCGGCCACAACGACTACAATTTTGCTAAGTGCTATCCACAGAAAAAAAAACATTCACATCCATTTTTTGCATGACAAACACAGGACTTTATTTATGTTTTGCATGACAAATTGGATGTTGCGGATGGGTGTTTTTTCCTGGATGAGTGCACTGTGGAACCGATGAGGAATTTTTTTACGCGAATCGTCGCCACAAAAGGCATCGTCGCCCCAATCCGGAAGATGCCGATACAGGCGACGTTGAAGCCCTGCGTGATCCACATCGGGCTGTTGAGAAACCGAATACCCTTTCACAGCCTCCGGAGATTATCTTGTGCAAAAGTATCGTACTCGTAGTAGTCGCAATCATGCATTACAAATCTTCATCCCAAGGCAAAACAGCATGACAAATTCCATTTGTCATGCTGAGCCAATTTGTATTGCAATTTATAGGAGTAGGTACGTTACTTTTGCAATTCATAGAGATTGCAAGTGGCCGACTTAGAGAAGAGACTGAAGGAAAACGCCAGTATATCGCACGAGAAAACTGTGTCACTGTAAGGATTTTGCAAGTTATTCTACATCACAGAGAAAATTTGCAATGCGAAATTCCTAATGGATTGGAAAAGAGGACAGCTAAAAATTCATTGTCTTGCATGTGTAGCAAGATGAGAAACACTTCTCCGATACATTTTCTGCATTACAAGTTTACTGTGAAACAATTTTCATTTCTTGCGATACAGTACAAACGTTTTCGGCGAGGACGAAAACTTCGCGGAGAATAGCAGCCGGTCGGGCGATGAAGCAGCTGCCGGAGGAAGAGATGATGCTGGAGCTGCTGCACAACACGGCAGCAACAATAGGGGTAGCACTTCTTCGAGTGTAGTAAACGGCAATGGTCCTGCAGGTGCACCAGGAGCTCGAGATAGTGGTGGAGCCGCAATCGGCTCGAACGTTGCCGGCGGGTCAAGTTCGTCCACCAGTCGGAACAAAAACGACCGGGGGGTAGAAGAGGAAACAGCTTCTGGAAACGCCTATCCAAGAGTAGATTTTCTGTACTACACGACGTGGAAACTTTTAAATTTAATGGATGTCGTGCATGACGAGACGTCGGTCTTGAAGACCTTGTGAAGCATGACAAGTCTTCCTCATCATGCACTTTGTTCTACGTGTAGAACGATGAAAATTTATGATGCGTTTTCCACTTGTGCGGAAAATAGTTTGTGTTGCATACCGCACAAAGCAACCACACGAAGGTATCGAACCAAAATTCCTCCCCAACCGCGGCGGAGAAGAAGTACAAATACACGCCGAACGACCGAAAGAAGTCCGCAGGGGATGACAGTTTGGAGATACGAGTTGCAAAAGCATCATACTTCTTAGTAAATACTTCTACTTAGTCCTCATCGCATTACAAATGGAATCTGGTGTCATTCTGATTTACCTTGAAGGTGTCGAGAAAGAGACTTGTCACGCAAAAATGCGGTTACTACGAGTACGAACGAGTACGTTACTTTTGCACAGGATAGACGATGCACAACAACATCATCTCTAAGAGCAAGGAACCCGGTGGGGCGGGCTCGAACGTCGGTGGCGGGTCGTCTTCGTCTAGCAAAAACCCGTCACCCGCTGACTCCGGCCCCACGATATCGACCGGGAGCTACGACGAAAATGGGATACGCGGGGGAAACAGGCGAAGAGGAAAGTTTATCACAAGGAAAAGTGTTACCGTTAACGGTTTTCACAGATTGCAATCATGCATCACAAATGTAGCCCAATATGCATGCTATGCATTACCAAT